TTCAGAGGGGGCAGGGTACCAGCAAAGAGCATGGACATTGAGCTATGGCTTCAACAGTTGATCGAAACAGTTTAATGCATTTCCATTTCCAGTTGCGTGGATCCAGCAATGCTTCTTACTTATTTACAGTATCACCCCCTCCTCTCCTCCCTGCTCTTCTGTTTGCTACATAGATAACATGGGAAATTGATGCTGACTATTGCCCGCCTGATGTACAGCATTGCCAATGGGTTAAAGAGGAATGAATCAACAGCGTGTGACCAGGAATAACAGTTGCCAGTGTGCGAGCTTGAATAGGAAAACATATCTGTGCCCACCTGAACATTAGTTTAAGTGACAAGGGCAACAGATGCCCCAGCAGGACATATTCTGGCTGCCTTACAGATCAGGGCAGAGCCAGACCTGCTGGTCACCAGCCCTATGACAATGCCTATGTCTAGGACTATGCAATGGCTCCTGAAGTCCTGTTAACCATGATAACTGCCCCTCCAAAGAGAACATCACTCTACTTTCCTGATTACACCTAATATTCCCTGTACTTTGGAGATAAAGCACAATAATCCACCAGCTGTTTAATGTGGCAAAACTACCTAAGGGCAATAAGCGTAATTCTTTGGAGATCAATCCCAGATGACTGTGGAATGTTATTTTAGATCCAGAAGGGGCCAAATTCACAGGCCATGTTATTCCAGGAAAGGAGACACTCAGGTTAATTCCTTTTCTAGTCTTTCCTCCCACCAAGATATCACCTGCTGTGTGACCCAAGGATGAGAAGCAGGATCATCTTTCAGACTTGACTATCCAAAACAAGGTCAGCCCTACGTAAATATCTCTTCCTTCTTCCCTTCTTTCTCTGGGCACTTAGAGACACCAAGATTTCTTCCAAAGACAAAAATGGCACCAGCAAAAGTCTGCTTATCCAGCCATCAGAATTTGGTGAACTAACATCTCTCAACAGAGGAGACAAGTGCTCTGCTACCAGGCTTTGGTGGTTATCCAAAGAGGGAAAACCCATTCAGGTGATCGAGCAAGAGCTTGAGACAGCAAGTAGTGAGTGCTGTGAGGGAGGATAAACCGATCTGTGGGAAAATACTGGAGTGGATGTATCAAGGATCAGGTATGATGAGGAGTGCAGGGTTGAGCTGGACTTTAACTGAACTGTCCAGTAGTTTATGACATGCTGGTCAGGACTGACAAAGCATCAGAGTTGATACAATATCATTCAAGCAGGATAATGTACTAGGATTGCAATTTATACCACACTGTTACAGAGGCTCTAACACAGCAAATGTAATATTCACCGTGATAAGACAGTCATCTCAAAGACCAATTCTAGCAACAGCTAGAGTTTAAAGTCACTACTAATCTTTGTAATTCATGGAAATGCTATTTTGACCAGGCTTTTAGGATACATGGCTAATTTTTTTTTTTTTTTTTTTTTTTTTTTTTTTTTACAATTTGTTATTGTATACTTGCTAAATTTGTATCTGGGTAGCATCCTTTTCACTGATTCACATATACACACTTTCTTTCCTCTGTTCATACATATTGGCTCAAATGACACTTTGTATTCCAAAACCCAGAGTGCTGCACATATTCAAGCCCGGGGTGTATTTTACAGGCTTATGCGATCTCACCTACAAGGGTGACCCACCCCCGATCTTCAACCCACCTCTGCAGAGGATTCATTTTTCTGCTAGGATTTTTCCTGAGTGAGTACGTGTTCCTGAAAAAAGCCTTGACAACAGCATTAACAATAGCATTGACATTATTAACAGCAGCACTCTGCCCTTCCATTACTATTTTGATTTCAAGATTTCAAAGTGCTATGTTCATTATGCCTCATAAATCCTTGAAGAGATGGGTCAGTTTTATTCCTGTTTTGAAGGTATGGGAAAGACGACAAGAAATTGTCACTCCAAGTGGTAGCCAGATTCCCAGGAGTTCTGACAAGCCCAATTTCTCACTCTAACCAGTATATAACATTTCTTCATCCTAACCACAGAGCTATAAGGCTGCAACGACTTTCATGAACTTATTAATCTTTCAAAGCTCTACAGGGCAGACCAAGAAGTCCAGGGAACAGACCATCCAGACTGTCAGAGAGCTGATGATAGACAATTACAGCTCGTAAGATAAAAGGAAAGCAACTTTTTCTGCTTGCAAAATACAAAAAACAATAAAAAGCCCAAACACTTTTTTTTTGACAGCTGACTTGTTCTTTTTGTCTTCTCATTCTCTTTCCACTACTGCAGTGCAGTTGGCAAAGCCTATTTCTGGGCTAGTTTGTTACAATACAGCACTATATGCATGAGGGTGAGGGGAGAAAAAGAAAAGAGAAACACAGAAACAGGTTCTGACATCTAATCAGATCTGCTGTATTGATTTTGCAACTTTAGCTTTGGAGCAAATCAGAGAAACAACCACATTATCACCCAGAATTCGCTCTTCCCTTGAGTGAGTCAGTTCAAAAGGAGCTCACACCGTGACACAAAGAGGCACGCATGCATGCACACACACATGCACACGTGTGCGCACACCCGTGTGGACACACACCCCACCCAAGCAGCTCTCTGATGGGATGCCAGGCTGGGGTAGACGGGGGAAGCGCTCATCACGGAGGCTGCAGGAGCCACACGATCCCTATTTCCAAGAAGATGAGAATTCCAGAGCAAGTCACCAGACTAATGAGCTACCCACGCTGGAGAGCAGCATTTCAATTAACCACAGCAGCCCCCGCTGCAGCACCCACCTCCTTCCAGCTGCATGAGCAAGGAGGAGAGGGATAAACAGGGACTGTGGGGGTTTTTTTTGCAGTGGAAAGGGGCAGGGAAGGTGTAGCCTATAAAGGGGATGAGGGCAATTCTTGCTCTACTTTCTTGATTCAGAGTTTGTTTTTCATGCTGATGGAAGGAGCAAATTGACAGCCCCGAAAGCAAAGCTGCCTGCTCAGGCACAGAACAGGCAGTGCCACCGTAAGGTCCTTCCAGAGATTCCAGGCAGGAGGAGACAGCTCAGGTGTACAAATACTCAGTATGCACCCAGCTCCAACTAAGGGTACACAAAACTGAAGGAGAAGGGAAGAGGGCCATTTGGGTGGGCTGCCGCATGGACCACACCACTATTACTCGGGTGAGATCACAATAAAGCATTGCTTGGCCTTGGGAAGAGCTATAGGAAGAGTACGTTGAGTTGCTCTTTACACAGAAGTTCATCACATCTTTGCCTTCTTGGTGGTCACATCAAAGGCTCAACCCCCAGAACAGCTTCTGGCTTGTACCTACCATCTTTCTTGTGTGGCGAGTCATGTCCTCCCGCTCCAGCCCAGAATTCAGGGCTGTGATCCCCTTCCAGACCACCTAGTAAGCCTGAATTCATCCCAGGCTTGGCACTGCTGCTCCCTCTGCAGGGGCAACGAGGGTCAGCGAGGACCACACAGCTTTCAAACACCAACACCAAAATGGGGACACCATCAGGTGTGGTTCTTTGTTCCAGAGTGAGATTTTGCTGCATCTCCCATCAGTTCTTAGAGTGACCAAGAGTCACCCTCCCTGCCATGCACTGCCATGCCCCATACACCTGACCCAGACTGCCTTCTAAAACAGCTTAAAGCAAGACCCCACACATTTCCATCCTGCTTAAGGGAAGCTTCTCCACACATACTTACCTGCATGGAAATTGGCACACATTTGCCTGTCCCCATCCTGTAATTTAATTCCTGCCACGCTCCTGATTGGACAGAGATAATTTTAAAAGGGGATCTTGGAATATTCTAAGTGCGTGCAGGACTTTGCACACCTCCGTTACTGCTGTGCTCCTAGCAGCTCACATCTTTGAGCAGTGTTTCTGGTTGCCTTCAGCCAGGTTATCCGCTCTGGTCGCACTTCTTCCTGGGGAGCGAGCGTGGCAGCATGTCTAACGAGCACTGCGGTGCCGTGTGTGGAGGCTTGTCAGTCACAGCCCAGAGGCAGCGCACCTGAGGGCAGATTGACCTGCTCCCTACCTATCCCACAGCTGCCAAATCCACGCTGCTCAGAGGACTCTGCGAGAGTTCAGCAACGGCACTATCCCGATGGGACAAGGTCTGCAGGGAGGGCTACTCCTACAGTCATGGCTCTTTCCAGACCAAGGCATTTTAACCAGCTGCCTTACCCCTGTCTGATTCAAAGTCTTTAAGGAGAGAGCACAGACCCCCGCATATCAAAACACACCTCCAAAGCATGGGAGCTGAGCAGGCACTCACTTCTCTGGAGGGAGAGAGAAATCACTGCAGGGAAAGGATGGAGATAGTCGCCCAAGGCGGACACCAGCAGCATCCTTCCCTCTACATTCACCTTTGTGCACAGATATCGCCTTCAAGCAGAGCTGGGAGCACCACCCGTCGCTGAAATCACTCAATACACCATATGCTAAGAATCATTTTTCTGTTACTCACAGCTTTATTGCATGAGAACTATTTGGAAGTATGCAGTCCTTATTAGGGTCTGCCTAGCAGTGCTTCTCGGCAAAATGTCTCAGGTATGTCCAGAAATGGCAGCTGGGGTAACTAAGCTGAAGAAAGAAAGCGTTGTGGCGTGGAAATGGTCTAATTAACATTCATTTGCTACCTTTTCAGTGCTTGACTTTACAAACTTACTAACATACCCTGAAGGTATTTTACACATATGTATTGCACACAAGCACACACCTGGTAAAGCTGCTGTTCTGCACTCATCCACTGATGGGGAAATGGAAAGCATTATATACAACCACACACAACACCTCTCCCTTCCATTTGCAAAACGCTGGCCGTACGGTATCCTGCCCTTAGCCTTGTGTAGCCAGACCAATTAAACATAAACTCTTCAAAGGTCCCTAGACAAAAGTGATGTGTCTGCTCAGCCCAGTAAGATAGGTCAATTCTGCCTGAAAGCAAGACTGTGTTAACCCTGCTTCTTCCATAGGCTTTTATGTACACAGGCATTCAGACAGGCGCTCTGGTACTGTATGGTTATACTCACACTGCACGTTGAGCTGCACCAGGGCTTCCCGGGGTCTGATGTTAAAGCCATTGTACCTGGCTGTCTGACACTTATAGGTTCCACTCATTTCTCGGCTCACACTCTCCAGGCGCAGCTTCCCATCGTATGTCTCCATCGTCATTGTCCCTGAAGGCATGGGGGTTTCCTTATCTACCCGGGACCAGATGATAGGTGGCTTGGGCTTCCCTCGAACCTCGCACTGCAGCTCAGCCCGGGAGCCCTCCCGGACGGTGATTGTGGACTGACCCTTAGGGACACTGATGGTTGGTGGCACTAAAAGGGAGACAAGAAGGGAATCGTTTTACAGTGAATTTCCAGCAAGTAAGGAATATTCTTGAGATGTTTGTGTTCGAGTAACATCAACAGCTCTGAGCTCCAGAGGTTTCCACTTAACACACTGCAACCCCTACAGGAACATACTGCCCATGTAAGTCATCCTACAGGGTCTGGAGCCGCAGGGCATCAAGGAAGATCCAACAATGTATCCCAATGGCAAGTACTAGCTGTATTGGGACATTCTCCCAGCTTCCACCCCTCTGGTTGCAAAATGCTATCTAGCAGCAGGGCTAGCACAGAGAAATCCAAAGGCAAAAGCCTCTTTGATCTATTTCTCTACTTTTGGTCAGTGAGTTTCTCAAATAGAACTGCCGTCTTTCGACCAAGAAACAGGAGTCGTATCTGTCAAGGTATCTGATTCCCTTACATGGGTCAGACCGAAACTAAGACTTACAGGATTAGTGCTTGTAGATCTCATCTCCAGCCTTATCAGACATCCAGGATCTCTGCTAACTCCTAAATCACAGCCAGGAGCCAGCTCTGTTAAATGCCTTTGCTTACTTTACATTGAGATTTATAGTGCAGTAGTTACCTCTGGCTCACTCGAGCAAGAGATGGGTCCCAGCAAAGATCACTTCAGGCATCGCTTCCAGGCCAGGCTGGGAACAGCAGAACTGCTGCTGAGCTGGGGCTAGAGCTGGAGGCACAGTAATGCTCAAAAAAAATCCAGCTATCAATTGACCAAAAAAAACTTTGCTGATAAGAAAAGCTCAAAAGAAATCCAATGACTGCAGCTAAAGGCTGCAGAGGTGTTGGTGGGAAGAGCTTTGTTGTTCATGTCCCCAAGTCCAAGAACTGAGGAAAGGCATGTTTGTACTAAACCCCATATAATAACTGACATTTTATTTGTATTAGGCTTCAGAGTTAACACTTCAACTGATGTAAAACAGGGCTGTAATCATTTTCTGAAAGCTCCTCATTCAGCCTCTCCTACTGACAGCGGCAACACTTGGATTGACACTTCCATAGCTGCAAGGACCACATACTTTGTTTCCATTTAAATCAAAGTTTAGAACTGCAGAGGCTGTAACAGGCTGGTCTGACCAACGTTAGCTCAATTCAACTCCAGCAAAGCAGAGTGTGCTATGGTAATTGCACACGTTACGGCCCACAGCTGCTTTAAGAGCAAATTTAGGATGGCTCCAGCCCAATCTCCCTCTGCAGTGACCTCCCTATGGAACAGGGAGGCCATATTTTCAATTTGCAGGTCTCCCGTGGGCTGGGGAATCTCATCACACCCTGTCCTGCACAGTGCAAAGGGATGACAGCGCTCTCGGTGCCCAGCACTGCCAGCAGCTGCTCACCTGGCGAGAGGCAATTTTCTCCAGGGGAAAAAGCTGTAAATTGCATCTGAAGATTTTTTTTTAATTAAAGCTATCTCCTCAGAGCTGCTTAGTGGAGGCGGCCACCTTAGTGAGCTCAGGCTTCACTCAGCAGGGAAACATGGAGCCACCGCTGCCGCCCTCCTGCTCTGATCCTGCGGTCTGGGGAAAACCCGCTGGGATTTTATGCAGGAACCACATGTCGGAGGCAGCTCATGTCTGTTCATGGGGATGCCGCATGCTGGACAGCCTCAGCTGCTGCATGAAGAGCTGCTCCAGTGCAGATGGCCATCTTCAATCCCTGGGTCACAAAGCAGTCTTGCTGGCCCAGGATGCCAGAGAGGGGTGACAACACCCCAGGCTGCCCTCCTGTCCCTCCCCATCAGCAGCATCCACATGAGCACGTGGGGCTCAGCCTCCACCGGCCAGGCCAGAGCTCGAGGCAACCTGCCACCGCAGCACCTCCTTTGAGGTAGAGGCCAGCTGGGACCTGGATCAACACCTGCACCAACAGAGACTTGGTGGGATCATGCAGGGTCTCCCAGCCCTTTGCAGCCTCCTACCCTTGCAGTCTTAAACACAAATGCACTCTGCCATCTAGTGATCTTGGGCAAAAAGGATTGCTCCTGGCAGCAGCAGCCACACAAGGTCAGGAGAGCCAGCTTTGCACCAGGACTGGGGGGTTGCCCAGGTTTTATTCCACGCTGGTACAACGAGGATGGTGTCTGCTGGCACAGAGAGCCCTACTTGCCAGCCAGGGCTGCCAGCAGAAGGGAAGCACCACCCTTTGGTGTTTAGTAGGTCCATGGCACAGTCAGGGCTCGGTCTCCAGGCTGCTACTGAGCACTGGGCACAGTCCCATTGGGAGCAGGCTGGCCCCAGCATTTCTCTGGGGAGAGAGGAGCTTCCCAAAGCAAACACAGTCACAGCACCTTCTGCTAGGGGGATGAAGTGAGCAATGTCCAGAATCAAGACCAGGATCAGCCTGACCAATGGATCCAGCACAAGCAGTGACTGCGAAGAAACTTTCCATGAAAATTCAGGACAAAATCTGTGGGCAACTGGCCCCCTTGGGAGTCCTCACCAGATCACTAGCCCAATGTTGCTTTATGCCATACACTCGAGGTCCTGAAAGGCAACAAGATAACATGGGTGTAATGGAGAGCAGAGCTGGACCCACCAGTTCCCCAGAAGCAAAAAGGCAGCCCTGAGACCCTGCATTTCAGTCCTCAAGGTGACTGACAAACACACTTATGGATTAGTCCTGTCCTCACCAAGCCATGGAGTGAAGCTTTGACCCTGATTTTAAAGGGGGGAGGCATTTATAACACTTGGACTCCTATAGAGAGTGTCCAAGACAGATTGCAATTGCAATCCAGTAAACATTAAAGCTCTTCACACAATTTGCTATGACAGATGATACCAATCTCCTGGCCACAGCTCTGAAAAAAGGGACATTCCTCATAAGCAATGCCAAAGAGAAGAAAGAGCAGCTTTATTTCTCTTTTACTCCCTTCTAAGCAAAGGGACATTTGAAATTTGGTGAAAAACCATCCCCTCTTTCTTCCTTCACAATTTGGAGGCTCCTTTGAACAATCACACTCTAAACCTGTCTCTGTACTTTTGACTGGACTGCACTTTGGACTTTTCCCAGGGAGAAAACATTAAGGAAGATCTGTTTGGTGCACAGCACATCTGGCAGAGGATCTGTAACTATTACTCATTTCCAGTCTCAGCCAAATGCTTGCCTGAGGATGTGATACTTTTTCCCACTGGGATTCAAGATGCTCATGAGAGGTCCTTCAAAAAAGCCAGAGCGATAGGGGTGGGGGGCAGCTAGTGATGTCAGCCACTGTCCTGGGGTCCCTAGCTGCCACAGAGAGGCTCACCTGTCTCTGAGGAGATGTTCACCTCCACACTGAGGTCAGGAATGTGTGCTCCCTGGAAGGTAGCCACGCACAGGTAGGTGCCGTAGTCACTGAACCTCAGGTCAATAATCTCCAAGCTGCAGGTCACAGGTGGGAGTTCAGGGTCATTCCTGGTGATGAGCAACCGATCTGAGAACCTAGCTGGTTTCCCATTCTTGTACCAGGAATAGACAACTTTCTCCTGGGGTATAGCATCCACATGGCACGAGAGCTTCAAGTCCTGCCCTAACTGGATGGTCTCACTCTCTTTGATCACATCAGGGGTGATTTGAAACGTGGCATTCTTCATGGCTGGGACAAACACAAGTGCAAAACTGGTTAGGGACAGCAAACCATCTTGCATGGGACAACAGCTCTTTGCTCCTCAAAGGCAACATCTCCATGCAAAACCTGCCTCAAGACCTCCCCCAGTTATGTTCCCACAATAGATCCCCAGGGCCTCACATCTGGCAGTCTGGGATCATTCTCTAGCCCAGGACAGTGCTACAGTCTGGGATGAGGCTGCAAGCAGTGCTAGCACAACTGCTGGTCTGGGAGCAAAGAAACTTGCGCAGCAGCTTCTCCAGAATACTAATCTCTGCGAAGTATCACATTCACCCTCAGCTGTACAAGAACAGCCAGGAGAAATGCAAATCAAGCCCCTCCACCCTGAAAACCCATACACTGGGAAAAAGAGCAACTTACACCGCACCAGCAGGTTCACCATCTTCTTTGCTGGGTTCCCCACGTTGTTGATGGCTGTGCAATTGTAGTAGCCCGAGTCCTCCACACGGATCCTCCAGAGAGTGAGGTTGCCTCCTTGCACAAGGCTGTTGGGAGGCATTGGGCCAGGAGAGTGAGACCAAACCACCTCTGGCAGTGGGTCACCGCCCGTCAGAGAGCACTGCATAGTGATGTTGTCACCAGGGTTGACCACCAGTGTCTCATTGACAGACAACTTCAGAGCAGGTGGGGCTGGAAGAGTACAAAGAGGGACACTTCGGAGCTTGAAAAAGACCGACCCACTTGCCTGTGCAGAGCTTCGCACTTCACAGGATTTGTTCTTAAAGATGGCTGGTTTGAGTAGGGAGAGCTGGGGGGATCCAGCAATTCATTACAAACACAAGGTGTTTGTGAACCTAAAGCATTATCATTACAGTGTCTTTGAGTTAAAGCACCTTGCTCTGTCATAGTTCAGAAACACTGCAGGCAGGACCTCACACTGCCCCAGAACAGAGGTCAAACCTAAAACACTCCACCACTAGTGCTTAGGATTGGGCCACAAGGTAGGTATGACGTTTTAGCAGTGTTAGTGTAGGTTCTCTACACTTAGGACTCAGATCAGAAGAAACTCCTGATGAACCCCTTTGCACAGACAAAATTCAGCAGTGGAGAATCCAAGGCTAGGGACTTCTTGACTCCTGATGCAAACAACTGCAGCAAGGCAGAAGGACAAAGGAAAGCTGCTGTGGCTCTGCATTACCTACCTGCACTGCATCCAGCCCACTCCCCTGCAGACATCACAGTGCCTTCTGTTCTCCCTGTCACTCCCCTGACTCTAGACAGGCCATGCAGAAGCATCACTGGAGAAAAAGCTCAACAGATAGCTCCTACTAGAGCACCTGTATCATCTCCTTTACTGAAACACTATTGTATGTACCACAATTAGTCTGCTTATGTCTTGGACAGAAACAGCACACTGGGCTGAGCCCTGAGAAAGAAAGAAAAAAAAAACAAAACAGGACAACAAGAGATGCATTGTCATAAGGCATGGGAAGTCTTAACCATGAATTGAGCTTAGCATTTCAGGACCTGAAGGAAAGCATGCTGGGAAGCTCTCTGGATGTCAGTGTTTACTGGACAGTTCTCACGGTCCCAAGGGAAGGTCAGGCAGAGCACCAGGTGCATGCCCAGTCACAGCCTGCTCCTTCTGCCTGACCACCAGAGCTCCACCCTGATGGAGAGATGAAGGAGAAAGGACAGGCTCAGAGGAGCCTGCTTGAATCCAACAGTTGTTAATGTTCAAGGACAGTTGGGATTAAACCGCTCCTCCTCTCATTCAGCGTTGCCATCCCCAAAAGGAATTCTGGGGAAGGTCTACCATTAAAAAAGGACCTTAGCTATCCCATGATACGCCTCTCCATCTTTCACATCCAACAAGATGTCTTTGAGAGGCAAAGCCTTTGCTCAGTGGCTTGCCCTTGCAGCTCAGAGCCTGACACAGAGGACCAGGAGCTGCCTGCACCATAACAGTCCATGAACAGCAGCTCTGCATCCACTCTTAACCTCCTTCATCTCCACAGGTGTCAGATACACTTCTCTGTAGACCTGGGGGCTATAGACCAGGTCACAGAGATTGTCTTTCATGCACAACTGAATAACTGGGATTGATTCAAAATAACTAGACAACCTCTCCTTTGAATACCCTAGCACGGGTTTTGGTTTATTTTATTTCTGCACCCTTCTCACTACATCCCCCTCCAGGAACTGATCAAAAAACCTTCCCTTTGTATTCTCTATTTCATCCCACGAAAAGCCTTTTAAAAGCTCTTGTCAGCACCATCACTGTCTCCATCCAGACAGAGTTGAGAAAGTAGCAGTCCGCAGCACAAAGGCGGGGAGTATGTTTTAAGTAACAGCCATAATAATGCAAAATAAGACATTGTTCCATATTCATGAAGCCTGATTTAACAGCATCATTATTTCTGCCTCTTCTCTCCGTGGACCCCACGTTAATGAGCTGTGCTAGATTTGTGTTGGATCTCTGAATTACAGCCCATACAAACAAGGCGAGGAGAACTGCTCTCTCCTCAGCACCAGCACCATAATTTAGCAAGGCAACTACTGCCATGCTGGGATATTGCTTTGAATCAAATGTCCCCTCCCTGGCCACAGCGCACGCTATTTGTGCCAGAGGTGGCCAGCTGTGCCTAAGGAAGAAGGTGGCTCCTCTGCCACCTGCACTGGTCATTTTGAGGCCAGCGGTTGCAGTCCTTGAATTTTAGGAGGCCACAGCCTGCGCTCAGAGCCTTTGACAGGTCTCTTCGCTGGAATCTTGGAAACAGTGTGCAAGGATTAATGCGAGCTAATCAGCAAAGGAAGGATTTGTATGTCCTCCCCAAGCTCCAGGTGGTGTCATGAGGCTCAGCGAGGCCCAGGAACACAGTAGCTCAACTCACCGTGGTTTGGTGGGGCAGGACACAGTCCCGTCACTAACAGGCTGTCAGATGAGCATAGCTGATACCAAATAGCTGTTCCTACCCTCTGACATTGAACTGGGCTTGAGTTCACAGGGCACACAGACAAGCTGACAGATGTAGCGTCTTGCTTGGGAATCTCTACCCATCCCCATCAGAGCCAGAGAAAGGCTGAGACCAGCCTATGTCCAGAGATAAGACATCAGAGTTGGAGCACAAACCAGAAGAGGTCCCGCGGGCTCTGGTTAAGAATTAGGGATCTTGTGGTGTTTGATGTGCAAATACGTGAACAACACTCATCTCGCCCAGCAGTGACATGTTCTGGGCAAGGCAACCCAAAAAAAAAAGTGACATGCTGGTGTGAGCACTGCCTCAGGGTAGGTTGTGTGTGCATGCAAGAGGGAGGCAGGGAAACTGCAAAGCTGCCACCCACACAGCTCCAGGCAGCAAGCTCCCATGATGTGCCCCAAAATGGAGCCCTGGCTGTGGCAGCCTGTGCAGCCTCCCACTCCCACTCCTGTCAGCAGACAGAGGTTAACAGTCTGCAGACATTGTTATGCAGGAGATGAATCTCATTTATTTGTAACCTGTGGCAATTCCTTTTGTTCTTGGCTCAGAAAACCTGATGGCGGAGTCTGCTGAGCAGCAAGGGGACCATTAAAAACAAAGAGTCGCTTTCAATTCCCTTTGAAGTCCAATTTGCTGCAGAAAAACTGCAGGAGAATTAACCAGCTGGGCTGCTTAATTTTGCAGAAATCAAGGAAGGGGAAAACATCAGCCTGACCCTGCTGGAGCAAGTGATGACAGCCCGGTGCTGAAGTGGTCCTGTGGCTCTGCAGACCCAACCTGCTGGTCTAGAGCCACACAGCAGCAGCAGGACAGAGGAGACGCAGGCGAATCCTCCTTCCCATTAAGGCTGCGGACGGAGAACCCATCCCCTGCTGCAAGGGCCAACCTGCTAACGCAGAGCTGGGCAGAAGCACGTCTCCTTGATGGAGATCTGCCCAAAGGCCACTGCCAGAAGAGCCAAAGTGAACCAGCTGAGGAACAGCAAATGAACCGGGAAGAGAAGATTCCCTTGGCCTGACATGACCTGACCCACTAATTCCCCTCAAGGTCTGTAGTAGTTGGGTCTATAAATATTTAAGAGATCGATTTCCATGCACCTCAGCACCCTTTGGGCCATCCTCGGTTGCAAAGACAAAGGCATCCTGAGCAAAGCTGCTCAGGATTCTGTGCACAGCCAAGGCTACAGAGGTTGCTAAAGCATGAGCACAAGAGGGAAAGAAAAGACCTATGCAAAAGAGGACAGAATTAAAGATTTTTCTTTAAATATTTTCTCACCTATGCACAATATTACCTACAGGACAAATAAGCCAGATAACAGAAGTATATTTAACATGAAATATTATTTAACACAAACCCTGCTCACAGCACAATGCCAGCTTCATTTTCACCTCCAGCTTTTAATGCAATTTGCTAGGAACACATTTTCCATGGCCCTTTTGAGCTTGTGGTATCAGGCTCCACTGTAACTATATAGCTAAACAAGAGAAAAATGACTAGATATATATGCTACGTGGACCAGGTTCAGACCTGAGGTAAGTACCTAAGAAGTTGGTGTAAATTCAGCCATATCACTGGCTTCTGATCTGGCTACAACCTGAAAGTACATTTTTCCCCATTCACTCAGTAAAGGGGCTGGACTGAAATGAAGGGTAGTTTCCCTGTGCTTGGGCTGGCAGGGGGGGAGTGGACATGAAGAGAAATCTGATTTTCTAACTCTTCAAAGGTAAAGACACAACAGGGAAGAAGAGCTGTATGAAATCCGTTCTTCATCGTGAGCACAAGATAAGTTTTTAAAGGAAATATTCCAGCATTCACTACAGTCTAATCCTGAGATAAACTCAGGCAGTGGTGTGAGCTGCTGAAGACATGTTCAGAGATCTTACTACATAGAGAATATTTTTTCTGACTTTAGCTATAGTTCACTTTCTTAAGATCATTAGTTTTCTTCTTTCTACATAAAATGATGCAACTATTGCTCAGCACCTTGGGCTCAAGTCAGATCAATAAACATAATTTATACAGTATCAACAATACCCCATCAACAGTTGGCAACATCAAAAGAGTTCTGTTTCCACTGCACAAAGATGACACAAGGGATGCAAACTGCTTTGTGTTACATTAGAGAGGTGAATAATTCAAACAACTACAATGCCTTTCTTTCTGATCATGGAATACCCCAGGGCTGGAAGCGATTTTCCTGACATTTACTTATTATTTGAAAATATTCAACACATGTGGGGGCTTTGTGGGTGGTTTTTTTGTGGGTGTGGTTTTGGTTTTGTGTGTGATTATTTTTTAATGGACAGGTTGCAATCAGGTCCTTGCAAGTATTTGGTACATGATACTCGCTTATCAGTCAGTTATTGCAGGTCAAGCAAGAGGCACCAAATTGATTCTGTTTGCAACTGGAGGTGCACTCAAGCACTGCCAGTATGAATATCAGTGTACAATTCATTTATTGGGAAGGCACAGGAGCCCATCGGCACCAGCAGAGCCTGTTAGCTGGGCAGTACTGAGAGCACAGCCTGGCAAACCAGGGCAGTCACACACGAATTAATTATTTGTAAGAACTCCTGCCGCATCTGCCCCGCTCTAGACTGTATCAAATCTATTTTTAAAGTCACTTAGAATTATAAATAAATAAAACAGTGTCTGGATTAAAAACTACCTAGTGCCTCAACACCTACACGTATTCTGTTTTAATGATCTCATGGCAGGCCTGGCCAACTGTACACAGAGCCACAAGAAATTAGAGCATCCCTGGCCACAAAACTTCTGTGTGAAAGATTTGTAATCCCAGCAGCCATGTATGTGAACGTGGGGTGCTGCAGGCCCCGGACAGGGGGCTGTGTTACCCTCCTGGAGGGGTAATTGCTGTTGAGCAAGCAAGAGGTTGAAGGGCTGCAGGGACCCTCTGCATCCCCTCTTACCTGTGGTGTTTGTGAGCTGGAAGGTGATGGATTTGTCAGGGATGCTGCAGACATTGCGGACGGACACCTGGCACGTGTAGCTGGCGTAATCCTGGGGCCGCAGGTTCTTCAGCTTCAGGACTTTGGTTTCGCCCTAGGAGTTGGGAAAAGAGTCAGGAAAAAAGACAGAGGTGTACAAACCACAGCTCATCATTGCAAGTCCATAACCTGTCCCAAAGTTTACAGGTTACCAGCAGCTCCTATCAAAACCTCAGGGAACTGTACAAACTCCAAGCCCCCCTAGCTGTATATAAAAGAGACAAAATGTTTGCAGGATTCTACCTCCAGGATTTCTAAAAACACTCAGCAACCAACTGACATTTAACCTGAAAGCACGCCGAACAGGTCTAGGCATAATTTCTCATCAACTGCTGTCAGAATCATCTTGTGGAACTTGAAAAACCTTAAGTGTCCAAGAACAGACCTTGAGATCTCGCATTGAGATGTCAGTAGGAACCCAAGTGATGTCACTGGGGTCTCAACATTGCAAAACCAAAGTAAAATCAGAGCCAATTCAGGCATTAATGCTGGCCTAAATGACAAGTTCAACAGTTACACTGTGAAAATTTGGGGGGGGGGGGGGGGGGGGGGGGGGGGAAT